AAACCAAGTTGTTTGTCGGAGGCAAGGATTTTGAAGCTCTATCTCACATATGTTGGGCATGTTGCCAGGAGAGACCAGGCCTTGGAGAGGACATCATGCTTGGAAGGATGGAGGGACAATGCAGGAGAGGAAGACCCTGGAAAGGGATTGACACAGTGACTGGTAATGGAGTTAAGTGTGTCGGAGACAGTGAAATTGGCTCAGATTAGGACAGGGTTCAGAGCTATTATGCATAAGGTTGCTATGAGTCGCAGGTGACTCAGTGGCACATAAGAACAATGACGTTCCCTTGCTCTGTTCGAATAACAGCATCTTGCTCTAGGAATAGGTTTTGCATGAGTATAATTAAGTGTTCTGGGATTCCCATTCTTCCTAATGTTAGTCATTGTTTTATTTGTCACTTGTTGTTGTGTTGATGTGTACCGTTGAATCAGAACTGACCCCAAGCTAAATCTCCAGTGGCTTTTCAAAAGCAGTAAATTGCATGGGAGGAGATTGCCCATCCTTCCAGAGAGCAGTTGGTAGATTCAAACTGCGTGCCTTTGGGATTGCCAGACAGCATCTTATCACTAGGTTAATTTTTTTAAAAAGGTGAATGTGCCAAGCTTTCGTATTAGTAACTAGTTTCCACTTCCACTTTAGTTGAATCAATTCCAACTCACAGCAACCCTCCATTGAGTTTCTGAAGCTGTAAATCTTTACAAGAGGTTGCTCATCTCTCTCTTTTAGAGAAGGTGGTGGATTTGAACTGCTGGTCTTTGAGTTAGCTACCATAACTCTTAACATCATCCCAAACTCAAAACTCATTGCTATCAAGTCAGATAACAATAGCTGACCCCCTAATAGATTCTTGAGAGCCTGTGAATAGCACAGGAGGTGAATGCCCATCTCTCCTGCAGAGCACCTGGTGGATCCAAAGCAGCTCCCGACAGACTACACCACTGTTGTTGTTATGGGCTGTGGAGTCAAGAACAACTCATAGCAACCCAATGAACAGCCATCCTGAAGCCTGTCCTATTCTGTGCCATTGTGACCATCTCTGAGACACTAGACCCAACTGCTGAAATCACAGTGTCAGCCCATCTTGTTGGGAGTCTTCCTCATTCTACCAAGCATGATGTGTTTTTCAAGGAGTAGCCTCACCTAGTTATATAAGCAAAGTATGAAAGACTGAAGTGTGCCTGATTCAGGCCATGGTCTTCTTAATCACCTGCTATGCATCAGAAAGCTGGACAACAAATAAGAACGAATGAAGAATAATTGATTCCTTTGAGTTGTGGTGCTGGAGAAGAGTTATTGAATATCCCATGAACTGACAGATATGTCTTGAAAAAGGTACAACCAGAGTGTTCCTTGGAGACAAGATTATGAGGCTTTGACTATGCCAGTGGAGCTCTCTTAACCACAGGGGAAAAGACCTTCAGTGAGAAGGATCAAAACAGTGACTTCTGCAATGGGCTCAAGTGTGTCAGAGAGGAGAATGATGGTACAGGATAGGACAGGGTTCAGATCTGTTGTTCACAGGGCTGCTGTGAGTCACATGCAACTCAGTGACTCAGTGGCACTTAACAATAAGCTGGGACTATCAATAAATGAATGGATAGAGAAGCTGTGGTATATTCACACAATGGAATATTATGGAGCACTGAAAAACAAAGAATTAATGAAATCTTATACAAAATGGGTGACCATGGAGGACATTATGCTGAGTGAAATATCTCAGTCACAGAAAAACAAGTACTGCATAATGCCACTGTTATAAAACAGGACTGACACGGGTTGGGGAAAAAAACTAAAATAAGAGGGGACAAAAATGTACATGGCACTGAAACAGATGAGGGATAGAACTGTATAAAAGGAATATATGATTAGGTATTATTGGTATAACAATAGTCCAGAATAAGAGCTGCATAAAAAAGTAGTCTGGGGGGGAACTGTATAACAATGAAAAATTTTTTTTCTAAAGAAAAAAATGACTAGGGGTGAAGGGAGGCAGGGAGGAAAATGTGCAACAATGAATGAATAGAAATCCAAGTTCTTTATAAATTTACAATAAAATCTCAATACAAGAAAACAATAAGCTGAGATTATTAAGGTTTCTTCTTTCATCTCTTGCCTGCTGACTCACTCACTCTTTCACACTTTGCTCCTAGCACCGGAATAGTTCCCTGATGCACAAGTCCCATGGTTATCCTCCTGTTTGACATCTTGCCTGCCAATGCTCCTGTCCCCTCCCCCCCAAAAAAAGCTATCCATAAGATGAAATCCAGACAAATCAGTCTTGTCACTCTGAGTGACCTCGGCCTTGTTTCATCCCACTGGCTCCCACCAGCTTGGTGAACACCCATTTATCTCTTGGACTTTCCCAATAACCTATATTGCCAATTGTAATGCCTATTTACATATGTGTGTCTCCCATTAGACTGTGACATTCCTTGCCACAGTGATCATGCAGTAATTGTGTGTGTGTGTGTGTGTGTGTGTGTGTGTGTGTGTGTGTGAGAAAGAGAGAGAAGAAGGGTGTGAGGGGAGGGTGAGAAGCACCTATCACTTAAAAAGTAACTGCCAAATATTTTTAAATAAATTAAGAACTGAATGATCTACAACCAGGAGAAGATAAAATAGATGAATAATACCTTCTAAGAATCAAATCTCTATGCACATCCAAAAACTTCTCCAACAAGGGAAAAAGGGAAGCCACAGATTGGGAAAAAATATTTGGTAATGACATGTCAGACAAGGGATTCATATCTAGAATTTATAAAATACTCAAGCACGACAAGAAGATAAAAGTAGCTACAACCAGGAGAAGATAAAATAGATGAATGGGATCTTCAAAGAATCAAATCCCTATGCACATCCAAAAACTTCTCCAACAAGGTAAAAAGGGAAGCCATAGAGTGGGAAAAAGTATTTGGTAATGACATATTAGATAACTGACTTATATCCAGAATTTATAAAATACTTGAGCACCACAACAAGATAAGAGTAAATAATCCAATAGAAAACTGGGCAGAGGATATGAACAGACACTTCACCAAAGAAGACATTCAGATGGCTAACAAGCACATGAAGAAATGTTCAAAATCGCTTGCTCTAAGAGAGATGCAAATCAAAACAACTATGAGATATCATCGCACCCCAGGAAGAATAGCAAAATTTAACAGAACAACAAGCAACAAATGCTGGCGAGGTTGTGGAGAAACTGGAACCCTTATTCACTGTTGGTGGGAGTATAAAATGGTGCAACCACTGTGGAAGGTGGTATGGCACTTTCTCAAAAAGTTGCAAATAGTAATACCATTTGACACAGCAATTCCACTACTGGGAATATACCTGAAAGAGACCATAATTGACATCCAAGCAGATATATGCACACCCATGTTTATCGTGGCTTTGTTCACAATAGCAAGGAGTTGGAAACAACCTAAGTACCCATCAACAAATGAATGAATAGAGAAGCTGTGGTATATTCACACAACGGAATACTACACTGCATTGAAAACAAGGAACGCATGCAATATTATTCAAGATGGGTGACCCTGGAGGATAATATGCTGAGTGAAGTATCTCAGTCACAAAAAGACAAATACTGCATAGTGCCACGGTTGTAGAATGGTACCGACATTAGGGTTGGGGGGAGACTGAGAAAGATGGGTTCAATAATGTATATTGCATTGAAACAGATGAGGGAGAAAACTGTTTAAGAGGGATATGTCATTAGGTATTTTTGTCATGACAGAAGTTCAGAGCAAAGGCTGCATAGTGGAGTGGACCTGGGGGGAGGGATTGTAAAACAATGAAAGAATTTTACTTTTCCAAGAGGGTAGTGTACTAGGGGGGAGGGTTGGGAGGGGAGAAAAGTGCAACAATGAATGAATGGAAATCCAAAGTCTCTGTAAATTTTCATTGAAATTAACAAGAATTTTTTTAAAAGAAGATAAAGGTAAATAACCCAACTGAAAACTGGGGAGAGGATATGAACAGGCACTTCACCAAAGAAGACATTCAAATGGCCAAAAACCACATGAAGAAATATTCAAAATTCCTAGTGCTAAGAGAGATGCAAATCAAAACAACTATGAGATACCATCTCACCCCAGTAAGAATAGCAAAATTTAACAGAACAGCAAACATCAAATGCTGGCAAGGTTGCAGAGAAACTGGAACCCTTATTCATTGTTGGTGGGAATGTAAAATGGTGCAACCACTGTTGAAGGCTGTATGGCGCTTTCTCAAAAAGTTGCAAATAAAAATACCATTTGACCCATCAATTCCACTACTGGGAATTTACCCTAAAGAAGCCATAACTGACATCCAAGCAGATATATGCACACCCATGTTTATTGTGGCTTTATGTTCGCAATAGCAAAGAGCTGGAAACAACCCAAGTGCTCATCAACTAACGAATGCAATACTATGCAGAATTGAAAAACAAGGAACTTATGGAATATTATGCAAAATGGGTGACCCTGGAGGACATTATGCTGAGTGAAATATCTCAGTCACAAAAGGACAAATATTGCATAGGGCCACTGTTGTAAAAAGGGACTGACATCAGGGTTGAGGGAAGACAGAAAAGGAAGGGAGGAATGATGTATATTGCATTGAAACTGATGAGGGAGAGAACTGTTTAAAAGGGACATATGAATGGGTATTTTTGGAGTAGACTTGGGGGCGAGGGACTGCATAACAATGAAAGAGTTTTTCTTTTTTCTTTTCAAGGAGAAGAGTGAATGGGGGGGTGGGGCTGAGCAGAGGAAAAAAAAAGGAGAAAAAGAACTAAATGAAAGACAACTTTTAGCCAAATCCAGTAGAACTGTCTTAAGGATGTTTATTTCCCTCCACATTTATTCACAATTAAGAACTGAGTAGCCTTTTGATAAAGACAACTTTCTTGGCTCCCCTCACTTAGCCTTAACTCCCCAGGTGCAGCGGTCTCGAAGACAGGCAGCTAACTGTGCCAGGCGGAGGGTGAGCCTTGTCCCAGCGGAGGCCTCCTATGGGCATCTGTCTGAGAGCTCTTTAATCCTCTTTCTCTTCAGTTTTGTTTTTTGAGGAAGTTTCCTTAAAGAATCTGAAAAGGGGAAGGTCACAGAGACAGTTCTGATGACATCACAAACGGTAAATAAACCTCAGTGTGTAACAGGTGGGGGAGGTGCAATGGGAGCAGAAAGGAGAAACAACAAAATTCTTTCTAACCTAAAACCCGATATTCATTATTCCTCTCATAGAACTCCTGTGAGGTAGATGTGATAAAAACAAGAACATGGCTAGGTATTTACACCCGAAAGAAACAGACTGACCTACTGCCCTTGGAGCAACTCTGACTCCTGGGGAAGAGCTGACTGTCCCATGGGGTTGCCAAGCCTGTCAGTCTTTAAAGAGACAAATTGCTACATCTTTCTCCCAAAGAGTGGCTGGAGAGTTTGAACTGCTGACTTTTTGGTTAGGAGCTGAGCACTTAACCACGACACCACCAAGGCTCCTTTCGGAGAGATGACGTGATCCCCAGTTTACAGCTAGAAATCTCACCCAGGGACAAAGTAAGAAAATAAGCTGCCTCTGGTGGCCTAATGGTAAGAAGTTTTGCTGTAATTCCCAAAGGCAGGCAGTTCAAATCTTCTGTGCAAATTGATCACCTCTAAAAGCCTACTGGAGGGTCAGCTATGGATCGATTCTGACTCAACAGCACACAACAAAACAGCAACGTTCTTATAAGGACATTTTAGTGGCCTAGTAGGAAGTACTGGTGGCTTAATGATAAGGGATTGCACTGCCGATGAAAAGGTAGAGGGTTTGGATCCACCAGCTGCTCCAACAAGAAGTGGCCTACTGGTAAGAAACTGCACTGCAAATCTGAAGGCATGTAGTTCAAACCCACCAGCTGTTTCCCAGGAGAAAGGTGGGTAATCTCCCATGCAATTATACTGTCTCTGAAAACCTGCTGAAGGGTCAGCTATGGGTTGGTTCCATCAACAATACTTAAGAACAATGTCCCTATGGCCAGGTGTAGCATGTCAGCACTACATTGTACATTTCTTGGCTCCTGACTTCAGACTTTGCCCAGGCTTCACGCCCCACCTGTGTGCCTTGCTTTTAGTACAGTTTGCAAACACTACTGCCAACATTTTTTACTTAATAACTGACTGTATGACCACAGTGCCAAGGAAACATCACAAGTTTCATTTTTTCCTGTTTTCTGACTCACTGTCTTTCATTGCATTTACAATATTACACAAACAAAATTGCTGCCCTTTTCCACATTTTATCATCACCTTTAACAGAAACTCAGATCATGTAAGCAATACCTCTTCCCTCTTCTTCCCTCCCATCCACCGCAGGTAACCACTAATACATTTTTGTTTCTATGCATTTGCTGATTCTGGCTGTATAAGAGGGAATCACACAATATATGTCCTTTTGTGTCAATACTTTTTTCACTCAGCATACTTTCAAACTTCATCCATGTCCTAACATTTCTCAGAATTTCTTCTCTGTGGATGCATAATATTTCTCTGTATGTTTATATCACATTTGTGAGTCTGTTAATGAACATCCAGATCGATTCTACTTTTTGGCTATTTGAATAATGTTGCAATGAGCATTGGTGTGCAAGTATTCACACAAGTTAACTTTCTAACCTCATGGAATAGGCTCCGTGATTAATCTTAGCCCAGTTATGGTGGGTCCACTAGATAATATTTACTTATGCCGAACAGTGCATAGAGCACAAATCATCTCTGATGTTTTCTAGCCAAAAAATGTCTAGCTTGATTCTACAGGAGCGTCAGATCTAAGTTGGAAATAGAATTTTTTTGTGGTATCATGAGTTTATTGTCCAAAATCGCTTACCTAGCCAGCCTATGACTGGGTGGGAACCTGGAATAAGGTGTGTGTCTAAAAGGATCACTATGGGATTGATCCATTTTCCCACCTCACCACGTTTAAGCTGAGCAAGTCTACCAGTGAGTATGGGAATCTCACTAGTAACACTAGTGAAGAGGAAGCAGGGAGTGCTGTGCGTCCTGCAGAGCCAGAAAGTCCCACGCCAGTCAGACTGAGACCTACACAAGAATAGCAGCACCCTCAGCACAGAACCAGAGACCAGCACAGGAAAAAGCAGACTTGAGACTTGGCCCCATGGAGCAAGAGCCAGGGCCCTTCCCTCAAGCTTGTGGAAGGTTTGCAAGGAGACATCACAATCGTCAGGACTAAAAGAGCTCTGTAACCTTGACGTGCATACATGCACACCTGCATACACATGGCAGGGGAACAAACTCCCACACAAGCATACATGCACACACATGCACAGCTGTGCACATGTGTTTGTGCACACAGGCACGCACGAACACACACGTATGTACATATGTAGACACATGCATGCAAGTACCCAGGCACACTCACCCCAAAAGGGTGTTACCTCTCCTGACATGGAGCCAGGACCTTGGCTCCCCGAGCAGGGAGTCCTTTGGGCCTGGGGTCCGCATTTTGGACAGCCTCTCTTTCATGCTGCTGAGGTTGCTGTGCAGACCCCAGGCGCTGCAGAGCTTGGGCAGGCTGTCTTCCTGGTCTACCAGCAAGGAGCCCTCTGGAGCATCCAAAGGGCAGAATGTCTCCTGCAATGGGATCACAGTATTTAGAAGCATTGCAAAATCCTAAAATTAATTCATTGTCATCAAGTCAGAAATGACCTCTAGGTGACCCCCCCCCCCAGTGAGTTTGCACATGCTGTAAATGACACAGAAGGAAACTGCCCATCTTTTTTTTTCCCTGTGGAGCAGCTGGTGGATTTGAACTTCCTACTTTTGAGTTGGCATCTCAACTCTCTTCCCCTTAGGTCAGTAGAGTTTCTTATGTTGCAGCTAGCCTTTAAGTAACCACCACTTGTCAAGTTTTGGTATGGCAGCAAAGAAAAAAGTCACAGTTGTCTAAAAAGGTTTAGAAAAGATGACTCCTTTTTCTAGTTCCATCTCTCTCTGAGGCTAAATTTTCTTCACTCAAAATTACATATCACAACAGATTGACTTCAGAAGCAGAAATGAGATTCCAGCTGTCTTCTAAAACAAAGTCATCCTGCTTACTGATTTTCCCCCCTTTGGAAAATACACCAATTTTTCTATAAAATTATGTTTTTAATGGTAACTAATATTTAATTTATTATTTTAACTTTTTATGAATTAAAATATATTTCATTTTCCTTTGCTTTAGTTTCTGGTATGTATGTGTGTGTACTGTCAAATCAGATCTGACTGGTACAGGAAGAGATTGTCACTCCTTCTCCATCAGAGCATCTGGCAGATTTGAACCACATGCCTCTGGCATTGCTGTGCAGCTTCTTGCCTCTAGGCCACCAGAGCTCCCTTGAGCTTTAGTTTCTAACAGGGTAAATATCAATCGATAGAATTCATATAACCACGTGCTTTGAGGTTTCCAATGGTGTTTAAGAGGGTGAGACCAAATTGTTTGAGAAGCACTATTTTTGGAGGAGACCAGACCAGAGAATAGCAACAGCTCTCAAAGGCTTCTCAAACCAGCTATGCCCTTCTGCCTGGTCTCAACGCCCTAACTCTTGAAGGACCCACCCATTTCAGGGCATGGCTGCAGAGAATGAATTAATATTGATGCAAAGTCGGTTCTCTTGCTAGCCCCATTCTGTGTCCATGGCAAAGGTAAACGTGGGGGCAGTGAAGTGTTGCTCATGCAGGAAGCCACGGAAAGGATCATGGAGCCATTAATACTAATAGGCACAATCCACGAACACACCAGCCTCCTCAACCTCCACCTGGCCAGGCCCAAAGAAGATTCCTGGGTCTTACCGCCAACTTGGCTGGCCGGTCATTCTTGGTGTACTTGTAGAGCCTGCGAAGCTGCTTCGCGTCCAGTTCAGAGAAGAGGGCAACAAACCGCCAGAGCATCCTACAGGGAGTGGGGAGGCCAAGGCTGAGGGGCTGGTACACAATCCCACTCCCTCTCACATTGTCCTATGACCCACATCTGCCCAGAGAGAAATGAGTCACTGCTACCTGGGGGTGAGGGGGTTAGGTTAAAGGATGAATAGGTGGGGATTTCTCAGTCCCTTCTCTCTTTGAACACCCTGTACCAATGACCAGCATCTTCACGAAGGGCATTGGCTAGGGTTCATTATCCCTGAAATTCAGAAGAGACCTTTGTCCACTGGGTAGGCAGTTAAGGTACACTCAGTGCTGGTCCAAGTAACTAGGCACACCCTGATATTGACCACCTCTTCTTGGCCCACTGAGGTGTGACCTTAACGGCGGGAAGACGGCCCAGGAGTGGATATGGGAGGCAGAGTAAGAGAGTGGCCCTACTTCTTCCAGTGCTTGATTTCCCAGGCTTGGCAGTAGTGTTGCAGAAAGGTGTTGATGTGATCCCCTAGGACCATGAGGCTCTGCTTCATGTACTTCAGCTTCTTCCCCCCAGGAAGGTCCTTGGGCAGATGCAGTTTTCTTAAGAACTTTTTCCGAGGCCGTAGGTATTCTTTACACTGAGGAAACAAGAATAGGGAAGTGGGACCTTGGTTGAAAAGTAGTAAATGAGTTGCCCCAAGCAACTAGTTGACCAGGAGAGTCAGTCCTCTTGATCCAAAGAGTATTTTGTGTCTTGAGTGAGGACACTTGTGATAATCCCTATCCAATTCCCTTCCCGGGAGCATGACAAGTGGAGCTGAAAGCTATAGGTTTGAAGTCTGCCAATTCCTGACCCAAGTCTCCTGACCCACAGGGAATACAGGATAGGAGTCCCAGGTTGCTTTGTACTCACAATTTTGAAGGCTTCCTCACTCAAACCTTTGGCATGGCGCACGAGAGTGTCCTCAGCAGGGATGGTGTCAGAGCTCCTCTCCAAGCAAGGCACACCAGTCAGCTGGGGCAGGTGGCGGTGTGTGTGGGGGGGAGATGCAGAGAGGACCGTGGTCAGTTTTGGGACTTGGGCCATTGCTTGTAAGCATCAGTGCTGGCATAACTTTAGGCCCAAATGCCCATCAAAGTTCTTCTCCATGTTCTCAATGACCCCGTCCTTGACTCAGCATTGACATAAGTAAACTGTGGGTGAAGCAGTCTCTCTGAAAAACCTAGAAAGTCCCACCCATTTGTTTTAGAATAAACACTGAATATTATATTAGTTAACTTTATAGAGCACTTACTATACTTTATTCTATAAATTCTGAGGTTCGATATCCCCATTTTCAGATGATGGCACTGAAAGAGATTTACGTGACTCTGAGGATTGACTAAGCAGACATTCTGGTGGTTAAGTACTTAAGTTCTAAATGAAAGGTCAGTAGTTTGATTCCACCAGCCACACCTCAGGAGAAAGATGTGACAGTCTGCTTCCAAAGAGAGTCCAGCCTTGCAAACACCGTGTGCCTGTTCTGATCTGATCTATTTGGTCACTCTGAACTGGAACCAACTTGGTGGCAAGTTTTTTAAGTCTCAGGCTCGCCCCTTTGCAGTGCTATAATTTAGCATCATGTCATGCATCACATGGGCATTCAGAAAAAAATGTGCAATGGTGACGACAATGATGAGAGGACACTTTTCTGATAGCAAACCTAGGGCAAAAAAAAGGGAAATGTAATACGAGAAGTCAAAGCACAGGATTCAAATAATATAGCTGGGGAGCTCTGGTGGCCTACTGGCAAGAAGCTGTGCTGCAATCCCGAAGGCACGTGGTTCGAGGCCACTAGCTGCTCCACAGGAGAAGGATGGGCAATCTCCTCCTGTGTGATCGTTGCCTCCGAAAACCCACCAGAGGGTCAGCTTTGGTTTGGTTCTGACTCTATAGTACACAATAACAACAAATGATATAGCTAGATTTGTACCTCATCTTTCAAAAGATGATTCATTTCTGCCTGTGTTCAGTGGGAACAAGGAAGATTCAGGCCCAGATCCCTCAGAGAGAGAGAGACCTGGAGAAAGGTGAGTAGAGCAGCGTTCTGTATGGTTCCTCCAGGCATTAGATCAATTCCATAAGCCACACATACACCACAAAACCACACGCAGAGACCATAACACACACACACACACACACACACACACACACACACCCTCTCCCAAACACACAAAAGAGTATGTGTGACCTCACAACTAACAATAAGATGAGCTACCTCCCATCAATGTCAGGAATAGATGTCCTTATTAAATATCTGTTTGAATCACTGAGGTTTCCTCTGGTCTGAAGACCTCTTGCCAAGAGGACCCTACCATTGCCCCTTCTCCTCTTCCTGGAGCTTCATGCCCTCTTTCTCCAACCAGACACACCCTGGCTCTCCCTCCATCCTTCGTTCCTATCTCCAGCTCCACTTCACCTTTTCTAGTGGCTTGTCACCATCTCCCCCTTTCTCCATCTGTTAGTCTTCTGTCTCAAGAGGTGCACTGGTGGGCTCCAGAGTGGCACTCCTAATGTCCCTTCAGGCTTCTGACTTGCTGCTTCTGTGACCCAAGTGTCTCTAGTTGGCTCCAGAACTCAGAGCAAAACCATGGCAACCACCAACACCGAGTCTAGCTCCCTGGCTCCTCTATATCCTCATCCTAGGGTTGGTCACTGGTCATCCTTCTCAATTAGGGACTGGACTATGGAACTCAGCAGAGGGACAGGGCCATGTGGAGTTGGTAAACCCTCTCTGAAGACAACTGTCAGTTGATGTTGATTTTGAACCCTGCTCTGGTGCTAAGGAGCTGTGCTACCAACCCCAAAAGCATGGTCTTGAATCCCTCAGCTGCTCTGTGGAAGAAAGATGAACAATCCCTTCCTGTGTGATTAAACTGCCTCTAAAAACCTGCTAGAGGCTCACCTAAGGGTCAGTTGAACTCATACATAACAACAAGACTTCGGAAGTCATTTTCCTGGTGTGTACATTGAGTGTAGGCTCCCTTAGTGGGACTTTCACTACTATCGAGTCAGAATCTACTGACAGTTGACCTTTCAGCAGGTTTTAGGAGGTTATAAATTACACCATAGACTGTGTATCTTTCTTCCTGAAATGGCTGGTGGATTGGAACCACCAGAGAGGCATGGTCTTCCTAACTCCCTCAGGGCTAGGCCACCAGGGCTCCTGAGTGGGAGGAGCAGGATTTGTAACATTCCTTGCTGCATTTGGAATAAAGAACTATTTGAGAGGACTGAATAAGGGCAAGGAGTAATACAAATCTCTTTTGAGATCTTCCATCCTACTGTGCTCTTTGGGAAGATAATAAATCAATTGTGTTGAGTGCTGTAGAAGGTGATTGTCTTTAAGGTGAAGGTACAAAACCAGTAAAATCCGGAAGGGAAAAATATGCAACATTGAATGAATAAAAATGAAATAAAACACAACTCATTGCCATCAAGTAGAGTCTGACTCATATAGAGACCCCTAACTTTGGTTTCCAAAGCTGTAAATTTTCATGGGAGGAGGGTGTCCACCTGTCTTCTGGGAACTGCCAGCCTTTCCTCTAGCAACACAAGTTATGCACCATGTTATGTTGTTGTTGTTATGTGCCGTCGAGTCACTTGCGACTCATAGCGACCCTATGTACAACAACCCTATACCCTGCTCTATCCTGTGCCAATCGCATTGCCTCTGACACAACCATCCCGATTACCCCAGTCACTGAATCAATCCAGCTCATAGAGGGTCTTCCCCTCCTGCGCTGTCCCTCCACCCTACCAAGCATGATGTCCCTCTCCAAGGACCTGTCTCTCCTTACAACATGTCCAAAGT